CCCCCCTCCCCCTTTCCCGGCTGCGCCCCCAAACACGACCCCATCCCCACCGACTCCGCGCGCGGTGGCAAATCCCGGCGCCCCTTTCCTTTTCACCTGCCTCTCCGCACGGGATAATCTGCCCCCTTCCACCCCCGAGCGTCGGCCCACCGATACCGGAGACCGATCGGTTATTTATCTCCTGGTGAACCTCTGCGTGTCCCGCAATATATTACGAGGAGGAGGGGGAAGGCAATTCTCGCCCCGGGGGAGAGAGATGCATTGGGAGGAGGACGGGGCGCGGCGCAGTGAGTGGAGGGTGGGGGCGGACAGCGGACGCTATGGGCCTCGGCGCGCGCGCGCGCAGCGGTACTGGGATGCTTTAGGGTGAGAAGGGGAATGCTGCTGCTTGCGGTGATTGGGGATCGGAGGGCCCGTGTGTGAAAGCCAGTCCCGCCCGCAATGTGTGTGTGAGTGTGTGTTTGTGCGAGAGAGAGAGAGAGAGAGAGAGAGAGAGAGAGAGAGAGAGAGAGAGGGAGAGGCGCTGCGTGCGTGTGTTTGTGCCCGCTAGTACCCCCTCGTGCGTCGTGGTGGTCCTGGTCCTCCCCACCCCCGTGACCCGCCCCACGCTGCCTTAACGTCGTCCCCTCTCGGCGGTGGGTCTCAACCCCCTCCTACCCTCCGCAGCCAGCCCTTCCCCGTCTCCCTTTCCACCCTTTCTTCTCTCTCCTTTGTACCCTCCCCTTTCTCTCCGCCCCCCCCCCCTCCCCCTGCTCCCAACTCACTCACTCTCCCTTCCCGCTGCGAGCCAACGTCATCATTTTACCTAGGCATATTTCATGACGATCCGCACTGCATTATTTTTCCCAGTGAGACGCTCAGTCAGCAGCCCGGGCCCGCCCCCTGCAAGGCAATATAGTGCCGGGGGAGGGGGCTATTACAATGACGCAGCCGCGGCAGCTGCTAGGGGAAAAGCCTTTGGAACAATGATGCTAATAGAGGTGTTGGGTGTGACGTAAAAAAATGAGTAGGAAAGTCGACTTTGTTGAATTGAGCCACCTTTCTTTTGAAAGGCCCAGTAAAGTGTGCCTTCAAAAATGTATGTCAGAAAACATCATGTAGCTATTTTTTTTTTTATTTTTTTTTTGCATTGTAATTGTTTCCGACTTCTAAGATGCGTGTACACATGATCTCAAAAATACGAGGGGCGTGGAACTGGCCAAAAAAGTGTACACTTGATTGTGTCAAGACAGTGACTGTTTCAGATTGTGTGTGATTTTGTACGATTCTGTCGATGATAGCCTCTGACAACTGACGACCTGGGGAAAATCACTCACGCTCGTAGCGTACAGGCTAATTCATAGTTTACAGATATTGTAAAGAATTATTCGAGATTTGTGAATCTCTAGAGACTGCATGTATAATAGTTTACTAGTAGGCTCCCCTCGGGGTAAGCTGAGCTTGCGGCGCCCTGTGATGACAGTTTGCATTAACATGTCAAACTTCGTTTGGTAACTACGATTTTTGATCATCGAGAATTACTGTTTGTCGTTACTTAATGTTTCAAATCTTCAATTTCAGTTTAAAGCCGGTTTCCTAGAGTTCGGTTTGTAAACGTCTTGTGTTTTGTGGATGTTTAAAAAGATCACTATTTCCGCCAAAAAATCGTAAA